GTCATGGGAGACATGAGTACTAACTACTGACAGTCATGGGAGACATGAATACTAACTACTGATGGCCATGGAGACATGAGTACTAATTACTGATGGTCATGGAGACATGAGTACTACTGCCTGACAGTCAAGGGGAGATGAGTACTCCCTGACGGTCATGGGGAGACATAAGTATTAACTGCTGACTGATGGTCATGGGGAGACATGAGTTGGGAGAGAAGCAGACAGGGAACAGGCAGAGAGGAGAAAGGCCAGGAAGTTAGACCAGCTGCTTCTCTGGGCACGGCATGCCTATTACATGCTTGGCTATATTCTAAGTGATAGGAAGTTTTTGGGGCATGTAATTTCCGTACCAGCCTGCCAGGCAGACATGATTTCACCTGTAGGAATGGGAGCCCTGTGTACTAATTTGCTGTGTGGCTGCAGGCAGAACGAGCCAGTCTCTCTGGAGGAGCTCACTCTATTAAACACTAGTCTGCTCTGGGCAGGTGGAGAGGCAACCAACCAAAGCCGAGAAAAATAAGGAAGTCTATCCAAGGGGCCTCTATAGAATGAAGTCTTTTATTTATTTCTATCAGCGTTTAAGCAACAAATTGCTTTTGGCTACTGAGTTTAACAACTGGGCTCAAAGAAAAGAAGAATCTCTAAAATGAAGATCAAAGTTTTAACCATTTCAGCTGGAGACACACTGTATTGTTCATGGAGTCTACTTGGGGTTGTAATTTTTGTTGGAGTAATTGGCTCAAAATTCATATAGCTTCATGCCAGGACTTCCTAGTATTTGCTGCCATGATTCAGTTGAATGTCAGTGGAGGCAAAGCTCCAAGAGGAAGTCTCCTAGTCACATACATCAAAGATCTAACACATCACTGAAACCTAAAAAAATTAGAAAAAAAAAAATCAACCCTCTCCCTCCATATCTCTACTCTTTAGGAAACAGTGTTCCCCAATATCCAGAAATGTTTCTCAGTTTGTCATTAGTCAACTATACAATTTTAAGGAAGAAAAGACTCAATTGAGTTTGGGTCTAAACAATCATTAGTCTAAAAGACAATTCCCCATGCCGCTAAACATTTAAGAGGACATGCATGAAGACAGGATGGCGTTCAGTGATCTTAAAAATAGAACTGGGTTTTCAGCACTTGGGGGAAGCCCAGCAACTTCTCAAAGGATTAGTCAGTGGCCTAAACAAACAGAGGCGCTATGGTTTGCCTTTCCATTGAAGAGATTCAGTTTTATTTCAAGCTTGTCTTTAGTCATGGATAATAACTAGTTTATTCAAGATGTCTCATTAACCTGGTGTTTCCACTAAATGTCTAAA